ACTTTCCTGAATAAGTAGTGTTGTCATTAACATTATTAGTCTAGAAGTAAGATCCTTGCATAAAATACTTTATCAATTATTTTGCACCTACATATAAATTTTCATTTTTTGCACTACTTACTAAAACATCGAAGGAACTATTTTATTCATCACAAAAATTTCGTCCAGAAGTGTACTGAGGGTCATTTTACTATGTCCAATTAACTTATGTATTTATGTAATAATCATTTCATATTGTTCTTTTCATATAACAAAGCGACGAGACGAAAGGGATGTGCATCTAATGGTAAGTAGTTCATAGTGCATGATCAGAGAATTGGGTTTCCGAATATCACATTCAGGAGTCCCTATATCTCACCAAAGTCATAAGCACATCTCTAGGCTTTTCGTATTTTTTTTTTGTTATTAAAAATAACAATGTTTTGTACAGTTCCAAGGAGGGCCTCAGATGCAGCGCGCTGGAGGGCCTCGCGCAGGTCCGGAGTGGCCCCGCGCGCCGCACCACATGCAGCCCGCGCCCGCGCCGCAGTACGGCCCGCCGCAGCACCAGATGCCGCATCAGATGCCGCCGCCGCACGGGGTCAGTACGAGATGCCGACATACATACTGCCGTTGTGTTGCTAGTGTGTTAACACACTAAAAACATTCGAAAAACTATACGTGAAATTGTTAATTTATTATTTGCTATTCACATTTGACAGATTGCAATATATTTATTCATTTTAACATGGAAGTCTTATACATTAAATTTAATTATCATATTTTATACTTAATACCATAAATGCGAAAGTTTAGATAGATGTTTGTTAGAGTTTGTATCCCAAACGGCTAAACGGATTTCAATGAAATTTGGTAAAGATGTAGAAGATAGTTTGGGAGAACACATAGGCTACTCACTTCTAGTTTTTAAAATTCCACGCAGACGCAGTTGAGAGCGACAGCTACTATTTATATTGAGGCATCAATTTTTTTTTTAAATTTATTTAAGTAACACAAAATGTGTTATGTCTAGCAGCCCCCGGGGCAGGGCCTGCCGCCGCCGCACCACCAGCTGCCGCCGCACCAGGCGGGCCCGCCGCGCGGCCCCACGCCACTGCCACAGCATCCAGGTAAACTAAAAGAAATATTCAATCACATTACTTATCCTTTATTTTTTATCGTAAAATAAAATGTTGCAAGGTAATCAATAAATACTCAAGAAAGTATTAAGAGCACCCTTAACCGACATCTCACTTGTGTAGATGTTTAAATATAGAAAAAGCGAGATGAGATGTAACCTGATCTAACCAAATGGAGGTCCATGATCTCTGTCTATCCGTCTGGGATACGGACTTGATTTATATTGATGTTTATAAGATACTAGCTGTTGCTTGAGACTGAAATTAAAAATTGTATAAAATACCGCCTGTGTTACTCAGTGAAAATGTAGTTTTTTTTATCACGACTGTGAAAGAATTTTTGAAATCGGCCCAGTAGTTTTTAAGTTATTGCAATGCATACAAAAAATACAAATCTTTACTCCTTATAATATTAGTTATATTTTTCCTCTCTCTGTCAAGTGTTTTTTTTTTTGCTATCCTAGTTATGCTATAGCTTTTAGTTAGAATATCTGTTGTCAGACGGGTTCCCGGTGGGTGTGGGTCCGGGCGCGCCGGCACCGCACGTCAACCCAGCCTTCTTCAGCCAGCAGCCCCCCGGGCAGCCCGCCCCCGGCGTGCAGCCGCCGCCGCAGCCCACCGTGCCAGGTAGACCTCCCTCTCACACACGCGTAGTCAATATCGCTCTCTCTGTCACACACACCCCACTTAAGCCCGAGTTATTTATATTGCGCTTTCTCTCACACACACGTGTATTCAATACGTCTCTCTCACTCATACGCACTCGGATTTAATATCGCTCTCTCTCTCTTACACGCACGCGCAATATCTCTTTCTTTCTTTTTGTGTATTAAGGTTTTTCATGTAATAATATGGTTGATCTAGGTCCCGGTGCACCATATGGACATCCTCCTCACGGCGCGCCGCCGCCGAACCAAGGACCGCCACTGCCCGGCGCAAGAACACCTTATGGAAGGCCACCACAGGTTCGAAATTGTTTCCCACAATACATCAACGTTATTAACTAAAGAAACAGTCTATTACATGTATATGACAATTTTGGTTTTATTTTTTGACCGCCTTACCAAAAGAAGGAGGTACTCAATTCGTCTGTATGTTTATTTATTTTTATTATCTGTGCAGAGTTACGGCGGTGGCGAGCCTC